TATATATATATTATATACACATACATATAATTAAAACTCATCTTATATTTAATAAATATTGTTTATTTTCGTTTTTGTTAACTATCAAATTAAACCGAGTTATCACAAATTTAGATTGAAAAAATGCTAATTGGAATTTTGTATGCAGGAATGTATCAGGAGAAATCGCAGCACAATATACGACTTAATGGCCAGTCACGGTGACAAAGATAATCTGATACGTCTGACAATAATGCACTGCAATTATGAGGAAGTGATTCGTCAACATCTGTATAAAAATAACTATTTAGAGGCGCTAGGGGTGCTTAAAAGTCAGAATAATAAAGATCTCTTCTATCAATTCGCCGGCATATTGTTACAAGAGTTGCCACGGCCTACGGTGGCTGTCTTGATTTCGCAAGGATCCTCACTGAAACCAGCAAAGCTTCTGCCAGCTTTGGTCTCATGCAATAGTGACGAGAAACACGTAAGAGAGAGAAAGAGAGAGAGAGAGAGAGAGAGAGAGAGAGAAAATTAATTACTATCTCATATATATATATCATAATTATCTAATTAAGAATAACAGTTAATTAAAATTTAAATATTAAAAAGTAATATATAAAAATGATTATTTCTTCTAATTATACTTAAGTAACTCTGTCAATAATTTCTTATTTTTTGTAGGCGAAAGAAATTATTAAATATTTGGAGTTTTGCGTATACAAACAGGGTTCACAAGAGCAAGCAATTCACAATTTTCTTTTGTCCCTGTATGCACGTTACAAGCAGGACGAAGTAATGCGATATATAAGCTCTCAAGGTAAATATATTTTGCTGTTTTTTTATTAGAAAATTATTTAGTTATGAATTGTAATCTGTTGATTTATTATAACTTTATCGTTCGAAACGAAATGATTTATTGTTACTTTCAGGTCAAGATATCAGCATGGTGCACTATGATGTGCATTACGCGCTGCGATTGTGTCAAGAGGTAAGCTTGACAGAAGCCTGTGTGCAATTATCGGCTTTACTCGGTCTGTGGATCACTGCTGTAGATCTTGCGCTTACAATCAGTGTAGAACTTGCCAAGCAGATTGCTGCTATGCCATCTGATCATGATGACGAGCTGAGGAAAAAACTATGGTTGAAGATAGGTAGAAAAATCAGGACAATTTTTTAATCAATAATATCAATAATATTTGAATAGAATAGTCGATCTTTGTATAAGATACTTTGAAATTGTGTTATTCTAGATCAGGCCTGTCCAATTTAATTTGGCTCTGGAGCCAAAATCACGAATCCATCGATGTAAAAAAATTCAGTAAGATTTCAATTTAAATTTGTGATAACGCATCTGAGTGATGCTTATCAACACTTTATAGTCCCCGAAATCTTATCCATATTGAATTTTTTTGCGTCGATGGTGCGTTTTAGCTCCGGAATTCCAATTGGACAGGTCTGTTCTAGATTATTTTAAAATATATTTTTTTGTTGTATATGCAGCGGAGCATGTGGTACGAGAAAAAGACGACATACAGCAAGCAATGGAATTTTTGCAACACTGCGATTTAGTTAGGATAGAAGACATTTTACCTTTTTTCTCCGATTTCGTCACGATTGATCATTTCAAAGAAGCTATTTGCAATTCGCTGCAGGTATAAACTCTAAAACTATTTCTGAATTTATAATTAAATTCTGAACTTTTTTTATCTAATAAGAATATCTAATTTTATATTTTTTATATTATCTATGTGTGTTTAATTATTTTATAATAAGTATATAATATAAA